AAAAAGGGCCATCATATTATTTTTGCTTTTCTTTACTAGTAGAAGAATAAATCTGTTGAATTTTGAATTGAAAAGAAAATAGTGGGACAAGCTTCGCACAAAACAGGGCTGCAAACATACACATAAATCTGGTTGCTGCAAGGAGAAGAGTTGCATTTCCTTTAGAAGTTATAAGTGATGCATTTTTTCGTACTTACAGGAGGAAATATTTTCTAATAGCATGGTTTTGTTAACAAAAAATCTCTGAGAGGGGCAAAAGTCGAATATAATTTTGGAAAAGGGTAAGAAAATCAAAATTTTAAAAAAGTCGGGTCAAAGGGTATTGGCTCTTAAAAAGGGTAATATTACCCCTTTAGTCGCACAACAGCAACACTGAATGGGAGTCTCCTAAAGAGAAACGGAGGTTTCCGATCGAAAAATATTGATTTTCAAGAATTCTATATCGTTTCTACAAAATGTTGTTTTTTTCCCATGTAAAATACATGGACAACTTTGAGCGCTTTGAGCGACTTCTAAATGGTTTTCTATTTCAAAATAAAAACAAGACAGAGGTAAAGTTTTTTCCAAGGGGTGAGAGCATTAAAATTCCGACTTTACTTTTTCACATGCATTTTTGGTCCACCCTAATGTACATATATACACATATTTGATTGCACAAAAAAAATGTAAAAAGACGAGGTCAACTTGAAATATCAGTGACTTTTTTAATTTTCCGCGCAGTAACTTTAAACGCAAAACTGCTGGGGAATTTTGAGTAAGCTTTGACATTTAGTTTGTGTCTCACAGTCGTAAATTTTAACCAAGATGGAAAAAAAATTAATTTCGTTTGTTGATAAACATTATCGAAAGCAGCGAAAGGCATGCTAAGTGGGGCAGTGGGGTTTCTGTACCATCAATTTCAATGGCTATAAAGTGGTTTACTGAGTTCCGTTGTGGTCGTACCAGCACAAGCGACTCCGAACGTTCAGGTCGTCCAAAAGGGGGGCGTCACGCCTTACATCGTCGATAAAATCAGTGGAATTATATTGGACGATCGGATAATGAAAGTGTGTGCGGTAGCAGAGGCTGTAGGCATCTGAACTGAGGAGGTGCATCACATTGGGTACCGCGCTTGCTTACACTCGATTATAAAAGCAACCGTGAGACAACTTCAAAGGATTATTTGGCGATGTTCAGTCGAAATCCGAACGACGAAACATGAATCCACCACAATACACCAGAGGCAAGGAACAATTAAAAAGTGTATCAAAGAAGACCAATAAGGGCATGGCCGCAGCTTTTTGAGATGCACATTGTCATTCACATTGAATACCTTGAAAAGGGCAAAACGATCACTGTCGAATATTATTCAGAGATTTTTAGCAGAGTCTACATGGATTTGAAGCAAAACGAACGCATTTGGAAAAGAAAAAATGCTGTTACATCAGGACAAGGCCCGTGTACACACGTGTCTGGTCACCATAGACTAAAGGCATCAATTGGACTGCGAACTTCTACTCCAACCACCATATTCAACATACTTAGTCCCCAGCGACTATTCGCTGTTTCTAAACATAAAGAAATGGCTGGGCGGTAAGAGATATGGGTCGAATGAAGGGGTCATCACTGAAACAAGCGCTTATTTTGAGGATCTTGAAAACCCTATTATTTGGAAGGAATTAAAAAATTAGAATAACGCTGGACTAAATGTATCGAGCTAAAAGGAGACTATGTTGATAAATAAAGCGTTTTTTTGCCGAAAATATATATTTTATTCAAAAAGTCACTGACTTTTTAAAATGCCCCCGTATGTGAGTATTTACTGCCGCGTACTACAAAGAGACTTTGCATTTTTAATTTTTCTGTGCTTTGTATGCAATATATATATATTATATGCGAAGATATGTCTGCACCAGGACTTGTATGTATGTGTATACCTAAGAAGTTTGAAAGTGAAAAAATATATACTATTTAATCGCATAAAAAAATCAATTAAGTTAATTGTTGGATGTAAATTTTTTCACTTTGATTACCAAGGACTGCACTCAGCATAAAAACTCGACTGGCTTGTTAGCAACTAGGAATGCAAGCAAAAGAGCGAAAAAAATAAACTTTTAACAGTATTTAATTTTATTCGAATCAGAAATCAGTGGCAGAAAACTATCAAAGCGGCGAGGCAAATTTTCTGCAATGCGAATATGGAAACCCAAAAAAAATATAAAATAACTACGACCTTTTGTTCTTTTCCATTAATTTGGCAAAAGTAAGAAAGTAAGACAACAATAATACAGTAGTACAATTTGTAGTTTCTAGATATAAATATACGTTCATTCAATAACTTTTTCAATAAGTACTTGCAGCGAGAGCATAAAAGGAAAATAGAGAGTAAAATTGAGAGCAAGAGAAAATTATCAGAAAAAGTTATTGAACGCAAGACTAGTAAAAACTTGCAACTTACCGTCATTTTGACACTTTCTGACCGTTGAGTTTTGGCGCGAAATTTTCTTTTTAATATTTTTTTTTCTTTTGGGAATAGTTTCCATCGTCATAAAAATAAAAAAAAATATAGATTACATTTAAATTGGTTATCAATATTTTCATTTCACTAAATATGTTTCATCAAATCAGCCTCTTAAACACTTTGTTTACATTTAAATTTGAAACATAACCTTACTTTTTGACTGCTGCAAATTACTGCTGGTAAAATTTTTACTTGCAAGAATTTGCAGCTCTCTAGGGTTTTTGCGAATTCGTTCTCTCCTGCAAATTTTTTAGGTTATTGAATGCATCTCCAGTAAAAACTTGCAAGTATCTACTAGTAACAATTTGTAACAATTCTTTGAGTTTGAATGGACCTTATATATCCTAGCGGACCCAACAGAGTTTTGTGTTCATTTTCTTCACACAGAAAAAAGTTATATAAATATACACTCACTCCACTATATCTGCGTACACCTTTTGATTTTTTTTAATATTTGCAATGTTTTGCAAGCTATATTTTTTTATGTTATTTTTTTACAAATACATGGTTTATGTTATACACAAAACTATATCAATCAAAGTTTCAAACTAAAAAATTTGTAAGCAAAAAGAAAACCGACTTCAATTCTCATATACATATTTAAGATTATCGTTAATCTCTTCATGATCCAATGATCGGATTTAAACCAAATTAAAATAGGACCACCTATGCGGTAACACTTTTTCTTTAAAAAAGAACATACATAAAAAAAATATTCAGACGAATTGATAACATTTCTCCATTTTGTGAAGTCGGTTAATTAAGGGAAATTAAACCAATTTTCATCAAAATTGTACATTTTTTACTCAGATTTTCTAACAAAATTATGGTATGCAGTTTTATAGTATAACAATAGCTGTGTTTTTTTTTACACGCATATACATCTACGCTTAACGTGTAAAAAAAAACAATCACCGAAAATTTCCATTTCAAAACAAGGTATTTTGATTTTAACGACAACTGTTTATAAGCGCACATAAAGTTTGTCGCTTTGAGCTCCATAAAATTTTTAAGCGCAGATTCGTATGCGCTTACGTTGAAGTGTCTTAAAAATCGCATTGATTTTTAATAATTTTATTGAATATATTGATGAAAATTCGTTAAATTTTCCTTAATTTTGTACACAGTTTGGAATCTTGATTTATGCAAGTATATGGTTTTATTTATAGAATGAACCATATTTTTGTACAAAAATAACAAAAAAGTTATAGGTTGCAAAACATTGTGAATATTAAAAAAAAAAACAGGGTGTACGCAGATATAATGGAGTGAGCGTATTTATCTCAATACATAATTTGGTTATAGTTACCAAAACATGTGTTGAGAGAAATATTTTTAGCTGTCATACCAGAAGATTTTGTTACATTTATAGGCGCATTTTGAGAACTGATTAGAAACAGCTATGAAAATATCCAACACATTAGAATCCGATGAGGAAATAGACACGAGTCAGAGTTGACGCAATGAAGATGTATAGGAGGGGATTTCAATTAGTTTTGCAAGAAATGAAAAATATGGTGTTGAAGTCAAATCGTTTCTTCAAGTTGCAAGATCAAAGCGTAACACAGGTTTATCTCGCTTCTCAGGGGGAAAAATTGTGCAGCTCTGCGTGGCGCGATGGGTTCAAATTCTCGAAAAGATACCACCGTACTTATTAACTGCGTCATAGAACGATTTGGTAGGATGAAAAAAAATAAAAATTTAGGCTAAGAACAAAATTAGCATTTTCGGAGCAGCAATGGAAGTTGTAAATTGGATCCGGTACTCAAAGGGCATCTTTGTGCGAGACACACCCAACATTGTGATACAGATATATTTGTGACTGCTATTAATACTCTACTTCGTATGCTTCGCACATTTCCAGCCACGAATGCAGCCCAAAATTTCACTCTAGATCCGCCACTGCCTCAAACCGCTTACAGCGGCCGCAAGTGTAAGTAACTAAATGCCCAAACAGCAAAAAAATTTAGTTCTAATAAAATAAATTTTGTGTTTGAAATCGTATAATCTAAATAATTGTCTTATTTCAGCTCGAAGTTCTACATTCAAAAAAAAAAAACACCCTTTACATGCAAGCAATGTTTTCGTTAAGCAATGTAAGATTTGTATGCTTATTGAATGGGTGTTCCGTATATATTTGCATACGTGTTTAGTGGACATATCAGCGATGATACTGGAAAACATTATACGTAGAATGTTATCTATTACTTCTTGCACTCAAATCGTATCCCTTTATCGAATGGCAGCTGTAGATCGTTCTACATCACAGACCATAGAAAAAACAGCACACGGCTGCAAGATGAAATTGAACGATTAATAAATGCGTTTCGATACAGTCTAAAGATCACTTAAGCATATAAAGTAATAATTGACACAGAACGTTTTACATTATCACCGACGATATGTACTTTGTATGTATGTATATGCAAATGTATGCAAATAAAATGCTTAAAAGAGCTTCACTGTCAACAAATGAACGAAAGTTTCATTAAATTTCCATGCCAGGCTAGTCACACAGTAGGTATTGCTTTGTCCACTCTCGATTGTGCGAATCGGCAAACTTTGTAGTCCGTTAAAAATATGCATCTCAAAACGCTTGGAGTAGTACACTTCTTTTTCATTTTCGCTATAAAATCTTGCTCGAGTCTAAACAATGAATTGGAAGATATTTGCGACTGCAACTGTGATCTAGAAATAGACGTTGTTAAACAGTTTGGCACCCAATTGGAGTCACTGCAAGAACTTGCGGGGCAAATTCAGGCAGAAAATTTCAGCCTGGAAAATAAGCGAAAAAGGTAAGGATGATATTCTCAGTCTTAGGTACCACACTTTACTGTTTAAAAATCTTTATCCTTGCGCAATAGTCAAAGTCTACCAATCAATTGCATACAAGCAGCCGCTGGTTCATTTAAAAGTGGCATCTATACCATAAAATATCAGCGATTTGGGGATGAGCCATTCAAGGTGTGGTGTGATGAGGATACCGAATTTGGCGGTTGGATTGTCATTCAGCGACGCGTAAGCGCGGATGTGGACTTCTATCGAGATTGGCAACAATATAAGCAAGGATTTGGTAATTTGTCTGGCAATTATTGGATTGGTTTGGATAAATTGCACGCTCTAACCGCAAGTTGTGAACAAGAGTTGTATATAAAAATGGAAAAGTTCGATGGCAGAAAGTACTATGCAAAATATGATTTGTTCGTCATTGGTAGCGAAAAGGAAGATTATGTTTTGCGAACCGTTGGTGCTTACAAAGGGAATGCTAAAGATTATTTCAAGCCTCACGAGGGTAAAAAATTCACAACATTCGATCGAGATAACGATGCAAGCCCTGATGGAAATTGTGCTGAATCTTGCAGAGGAGCTTGGTGGTATCACAATTGTTATTGGAGGTGAATTGAAGTGCATTTACATAGCAATAGCACGCATAAATTTGCAAATATTTATGTATGTATTCCCAACCTTTTTTTTTTGTTTCAGCAACTTGAATGGCGACTATTCTCAAAAAGATAACGTCCAAGGCGTAATTTGGAATGGCATACAAATGTATGAGTCCTTGAAATTTGCGCAAATGATGATACGCCCAACGGAAAGATGTATGAACCGGCTGTCAGTGAAAAATTGTCCACTTTAAGGAAAAACGAGAAGTCATAACAACAAAAAAGAGCGCGGCGATTTTGTTAATAGTTTTTGAATATAAACACATACATACATACATAATTTGGGACCTTTTTTAATAAAAAATTATGTACGTTAATTAAACGGTTTGATAAATGAAAATTAAGTTTTCAAGTGACAAAGTACCGGGCTTGAATCATGACATCCGTAAACGAGCAACTCATTTTGCAAATAATGTATGGTAACCATAGCTGGGATCATGACGTAACATTTTGAATTAAATATCTTTCTTCTCGCTCCTATTACATCAGTTGGTATAATTCCACTGTGGACTTGGATTTTGTGGAAATATCATCTTCTTTCCGGAGATTCGGAGATATTCCAGACATAAAGAAGCACCACTCGTTGGTCATAGATAGCAAAATTGAAGTGCTTTTAGGTAAATGTTTAGCAATTTTTTGTCATTTTTAAAACTAGAGTTATTTGTAGGATTTAAGCCAATTTTTTGGGTAATTTCTTTCTTTCGCAAAACTTTTATGTCACCAAAGATTATTGTTCTTATTTAACCCAACAACCATTCGGCGGCGTGCGCGGAGATCAAAGAACTTTTCCAATGGTCTTTCTTTTTTGTAAACTGCCTGAGAATACCCCTAATGGAATTTTCCAGCGAATAATTTTCTAGAACATTTTAACCGTCTAGCGACCTCCAAAATGCTATTTTATTCAGACTATCAAAACAAATGGTGGAAACTACCCTTTCATGGGAGACATGTACAGCGCTACATATATATTTCGCTGCTATACAATTTTAACCTTTAAAATTGCAAATTTATTATGGCATAAACAAAATATTTGATCTGAGAATGCGAAAAGATTTAGCGGTTGTAGTATTCGGGTCTGGGCCTTCCACCCTGAGTTGGAATCATTCCGCCTCTAAAAATGCGTTGCACAGTGGAATAGCTCCATGTGACAAAAAGTAGTAAATGTGCTTCAATTATGCTGAAAATGGTAACGTGGTCGAATTTAGCGGACTGGCACGCCCACTTCACATAAATCGGAAAGATGGGACAAATCGTTTTACTACCACGACCCCCAGTCATCCTAAATCTGCATACTAATCGGGCAAGGACTAGTAACGATCCTCCAAAACAGCAATGCAATTTTCTGCAAGTTAGATTTTTTTTAAACCGAGAAATATAAAAAATTTTATTAATTGACGATCAGTTATCAGATTTCAATGAAATTTGATTTATAAGGTGCAAATCGATATTTAGCTGAAATTTGTCTTGCTATTAGTTTAAAGTGTACAAAGTTTTTTTTTACCAATGACGCTCCACCGCACGGCACCGCAAGCTTCTTATACTCTCCAGAAAAAAAACAGTAAAAATGCTTAATATCATAGAAATGTCCTTAACTCTGTAAGGACCAGGAAAAAATTATGGGAATCTGATTTGGCGCCACTCTTGCATACTATTAAACTTGATATTGCAGATGAAGACAAATCCAGTTTCAACCGAGTATTCAAGCACCATTTTTGAGCCAGTGAAATGCGTATTCAAGTTCTTACGTAAAAATTCTATTCATGCATCACCAACTTCATGTGTCCTTTGATAATTGCTAGAGGAGTTTTTCTCATGAAAAAATCCTTAAAGCCTGCTAGCATACTAGTTTAGAATCAAGTCAATCACTTAGTTGGATATTCCACACATTTCGAATTTAGGACTTTCTGGCACTATCAGACCATTGTGCGTTGTGTGTCTGCATAAGAGACTCTCTTTCATCGATCGTTATTTCTTATTGCCTCTTATATTGCACCTTGTAGTAATTTTGATTTCTACAAATTGCATGCGGATACTAAGTAATTTGTGTATATTAACACTAATAATAATTGATTGTCGCCTACAAAATATGTTAGTGTTTGACCGAGCTTCTCCTCCGATTTGTGGCATGAGCCTTGATGTAGACACACAAAGAGGAGGGACCTATAGTTTTACATCGACTCCGAACGGTAATTGTATTTTTATGAGAAACTATTTTTCGTAGCAGAAATACAATCAGAGGTTTGCCATTGCCTGCCGAGGGGCAACCGCTATTACAAAAAATTTTAATTTGATGAAATTAAAGATCTCTAAGCTCTCCTTCGACGATTATATGAACTTTATTATAGCGAAATCATAATCCGTACTTGGTTTTGTGCATCGGAACAGTTCAATATTTACTGACCCATATAAATAACTAACTTGAAACTGTTATTTACAAACTGTATTCGTTCTCACCTTGAATATATCGTTACCTAAAGGTGAAATGGTGTCAACTCCATTTTTTTAAATTGTTTGCCAATTTGCGAAAATAGTTTCGAAGAATATTTGCAAATTTTTTCTTTTGCGTCCTTTGGTGGAAGTTTTAAGAAAAAGGGTAAGCGCAGAAATGGATTCTCCATACATTATAGCATCATTTTATACAAACTGTAAGCCCTTCTTTACGACACTACTTACAGCAAAATTCTAAGAAACATATCATCGCAATTTGGCAAACTCCGAATTTGCTTAAAATTACACGTGGCATCCTTCTGTGCTATATGCGCATATTCGAAAAAATCTTCCACACAAATTGACCCGCTCTAATGTACATACATATGCATATGTATACATTTACGAACTGTTTATATTTGTTTACAATATTAACCCTCCCAGAACCATAAGCCTATAATTAAAAAAACTCAAGACTTGAATTGTAAAATGTGATTCATCAAGGGTTAAATACAAAATTTTTTACTTTAAAAAAGAGTAAAAAATTTTTGCAAAAAAAATGTTCTGCTAAAATTTTCATTAATTTCGATTAAAAACATTTTTTTAGCTTTGTTACGCTTAAAGATTTTCATTAATGTCATAATTTTTTGCTAGAAAATAGTTTTTTTCCAAAATATATAGCCATTTTCTCATAAGAATATTTTTTCTACATGGTTTTTTTCCGAAGTCGTCGAAAATTAGTTTTTGACCAAAAAGAATTTGTTTCCTAAAATATTTTTTTTTTAACTTTTATTCCCAAAAAAATGTTTTTCCAAAATAAATAATTTAGAATGCAAAAATTATTTTTTGCTCAAAAATCTTCCTTTAGTTTTTTTTTTTTATGTAAAGTTATTTTTATCCTGAAGAACTCTTTTTTTCTGAATTATTAATTTTGCACTAAAATTATTTTTCACACACAAAATTTCTAAAACAAACAAAAAATGTTAAAATTTTCCATAAAAATATAATTTTTATTTGGATAAGCTTTACTTACTAATTTCCTATAAAACCTCTTGATAAGAATAAAAAGCTAAATGAATGTGAGACAATTCGAAAAAAGAATTTTATATACATATTCTATATATATATACTGCTAAAAACTCACTAAAATATTTGAAATTAATTTTCCCTTGGTCCTGGAAGGGTTAAGACTAATAGGTTTATGCGCACATCCAAACACTTTCCTACTTACCCAATTGTGAATGCGATCTATTAAACGTTTCAGTGAATCGATGCGGCGAAGAGACATCGCAATACGACTGCAAAATGTTGAAATCAGCATAAAAAGGCGATGAAATAAAACACCGCTATTGAAGCGGTCTTGGCGACAGGTAAACATTGAAACGAGCACAAGACACACACACGATAATAAACAAGTGAAATAGGGGAAAGATGATGGATTGGATGTGGAACAAACACGAAAGTTCCATTACATGCGAAAACGGGACGAATATAGTGAACACACGTTCAACAAAAGGATAACAAAAAAACACAAACACAAAAGCGCAAACGGCACGCGCGAAAGGACAACACCGGAGCGTAAACACTGGTATGCACTAAATAAATTAAATTTTCGTTGCACTTACTTCCTCTTAAACACGCCACGCTACTAATATGTATGTAGTTGGATTGTAGGCGTTTTTCTTCTTTTTCTTTAATATAATATTTTTGCGCTTGCAAATCAATCTAAATGGCGATTTAAGTAATTAATTGCCTTCACTTGATTGATTGCACACTTTTTTCACACTTTCACTTAGAACTCCTTCATTTGCACTTATGTAGATTTGAACATTCCTCTTCCTTATTTCAATTGCAGAATTTCCCCGCGAATTACCTGCAAACGAAACGCAGCGCCAATTTGAATTTACTCAACCCGATTACTTCGATTGTGTTTTACGATTGCGGCTGGTCGGTTTAACTTGACTGAAGTTACTGAGTGACTGTTGGGCCAACTGGCCGCGCTACCTTGCGGTTGGTTGATTGGTTGGTTGATTTACTGTCGCTGGCGATGGCATGCTTGCTTGTTGGCTTGCTGGCCGGGCTGGCTGCCTACCCGCCGCCTCATTGGGTGGCTCATTGACATACTAAATACTGAGCGCGGCGTGGCTGGCGCAACTGACTCGCTGATAAAGTGTCGAAATGACGACGGGACTGATTGACAGTCTAATTGACAAAATGCAAAACAAAGCACCTGCTTCACTGCTCTCTCTAATTTTACCGCCAATATCACCCGCTTCAACATCGGCCCTAATACCTCCCCCACGCACTTGCGTTTTTATGCTGCGCTGCTTGTCAACCTCAGCGTAGTAAGTTGATAGCGGATTTAATGCAATCAGTTGCTTTTGTTGTTACTGTTGTCTTAGTTGTTGATAGTATGCACCTATATACATATGTATGTATGTACCTGTAAAGTTGTTGTTATTTGTAGGGCAGAGAGGAATTTGTTGGCATGCAAAATAAATAAATATAACACAAAAATGAGAACAAACGCCCTCGACAACAATCACAATAACAAAAACAACGTCAAAAGCCGTAATAATAATAATAAACAGCAAATAATTCGGTTCGTGTGCGCATACGGCAACAAAATACGCGAAGCATGGACAAAGTGAAATGGAACTTGACGCTTGTCTGTTGTCATGCTACGGTACAGTGGGACAAAAAGTAGCAAAGAGTTTGTATTGAAATTTTATACTCCTAACTAGAGCTGTAATCGGAAATCCGGCTAACCGTTCGCATATTCCTGCATACGTATAAAATCACGTTATCCTGGTTAAAACCCATTCATTTTGTTATCCGGATATTAGGGCTTTTTAATCGGATATTCGTATATTTGAATATCCTGATAAGCCGCATATTAAAAAAATCCGGATAGAACTCCCGGCCTGACTCTTAATTTTATTCACAATTTTGGGGAAATCTCCTAACTTTCCACTTAAGGATGTTAGGTTAGCTTAGGCCAGCTAGCCATTGTGACCAAATAGCTTAGCTAATCCGTTGAAAACGGTATCAGTTTTCTTGACACTCTGGGCACATTTTTTTAATCGCTTCTATAGCAGGAAGTAATTACGGCGGTGGAAAAGTATTACGAACCCTTTTTTTGAAGTGAAACTTCTCTATCGAGTTCGGAGATGTTTCCGTTAAAAATTTAACACCACGCCATCAGATCTGTATCGTTCGTTTGATGTCAAATTAAAGGCGGATTCATCGTTTTAGTAAAGAACTATTTTTCCATGTTGTTGTTGTTGCGTTTCCATTTGATAATATGATGCAAAATATTTCTTCATCAAAATCTTTTTATTATTGTTCGGCTTTTGCATAGGTGGAAATCTTTCAAAAAGTTTGTCTCGTAAAGCTTTCTCAAACATTTTTAATTTGGTACCAATCTTGTAACCGCCTAAGCGATTTTGACCGACTCCAAGACAGCACGCCAGTCGTTTCTCTTCTGTGCTAACTGACGTCAATTGGAAATGTCAACCTGTCTCTCCAACGCATACCAGGCCTTCCGCTTCCTTTGTTAATGCCATCTGTAGTGATTCATTTGATTTCTATATTTTAGAATTGAAAATATTTCTAAATCTAAGATTTCGTAAATACCTTTTGTTTGACACACATATTGTAATATTTAGATTATATTATTAACTTAATTGAATTACATTTTTGAAATAGGGGGCCAACCGGCTCAAAAATATTTTCGGCAAAAACTTTCTTAAACCTCTTTAGTTTGATACCCCTATTGTACAATTTAATTTAACTTATTAACTTAATAATTTAAATTTTTCAAACTGCTGGCAAGCCTCCGCAAAAATATTTTCTTTCAGACGTTTTTATTTTGATACCCATATATTAATATTTAATTTATCTATTATTATTTTGATACCCATTTATTAATATTTAATTTATCTATTCAATTCGATTAATTAATTAAATAACAGGTGGCAACCCTCCTAAAAAACATTTTCAGCAGTAAGCTTTCTTAAACTTCTTTAGTTTGGTATCCATATTGTAATATTTCATTTAACTTTTCAATTTAATAATTTTAATTTGTTCAGCCAGTTGGCAACTCTCCTAAAAAATAGTTTCGGCTGTAAGCCTTCATAAACCTCTTTAGTTTGATACCCATATATATATAAATATTTAATTTATCTCTTCAATTTAATTAATTGAATTTTTCAAATAGGTGGCAACCCTCCTAAAAACATATTTTGAGCTACTAAGTTTGATACCCATATAGAAATATTTAGTTTATGTGTGATGTGCATTTTTTTCCATATAAAAAAACTGTGTTAGAAAATTTCCAAATATCAACTCGACTTTTTCGCAACCTAAAGCTTGGGTTATAAAACTGCATAATAATAATAATATCCCAACGGTTTTTACCCTCCATTCCCGCCCATCCGCACGAGGGGCGCAGTCCGCATGACGTACGGAACCAATATTTTAAATTTTTGTGCCGAGTCACGATAGGCAGGAGTTTGTTAAGTGTCGAGATCTAAAACTGTTCAGCTACAGAACTAAATTCATCAGCTGATTTTATGTATTTATGTCAATAATTCACTTATTGAGAGAGGAGAGTATCGCTTTCTTAATGCTGAAAAGCGGATCTGATATATCAAACGTGCTGGAATGAGAGTTAAAATCCTGGCATAAGCAACGGAGTGGGTCGTGCAATTCAAAATTGGTTTTACAAGCTTTCAGAAATATGGGACAAAAGTGTCTTGATACGCGTGAGGGAACATTAAAGCTTACATCAGCCAGAAGAGACGGACTTGAAATTGAGCCTGTCAGTAATTTAACCATAAAAATTATACCAAGCATTTCCCTGCGACTGGCAAGTGTAGGAAGGTTAATAAGTTTTAAGCGACTCGTATAAGGTGGAAGACTATATTGAGAATCCCATCGGAAATTTCTTAAAGCAAAAAGTAGGAATTGTTTTTGAATTGAAACAATTTTAAAAAATTGTATTAAAAATTTGAAAATTTAGATACAATTTTGCAAATTTTTTATAATTCTTGCACAAAGTTTGAAATATAAATTTATATAGTTTTTGTTAGATAATGAGTTATACTTTTATAGAAATAGTAAAAATTAAATAAACCAAAGAAAAATAGGCAAAATTTGCTAAAATGTCGCGTCCTTATTTATTTTTGCACCGTTGTATATATAGATATAGATTAACTTAAGACATAGAACCACTATACCACAATGCACCTTTCGCCTACCAAACGCTTGTAATAAAGTCTCGCCTCACGTCAAAGGCGTCTGCGCTACGAATGCTCTCAATTACCTACATACAATACAAAACGCGAGCCTCAAAACATGCACGAGTATGTAGAATAGAGCGTGGAATGCAAAACTGCGCGCACAGTGAAATTGGGGCCGTGGTGCCGAAGCGACGGCGGCGCTCAAATGTCTGATGAGATTACTACAAAGTCGGATTTACCACTAAACATATGGACCCACATATGTATGTATGTATGTACATACTCGTAAATATTGCACTGCTTACATAGAATATTTCAACGTCCAATAGGCAAAGTAATAATAAAGCTGATAATAAGTAAGTATCAACTATAACTAGAGTACCTAACAATCAAGTAAACATAAGCAGTACAACGCTATGTAAGAGACGTTGGAACGCACGCAAAAGGAGGCCGAAATTCGAGTAAGTAGATGGGGACGAGTACGTAGCGCACCAGCGTAGCGGAGGCCAATTGAAACGCCCGCCTATTGATGTGCAGCGGTGTGCAGCGCATGCAAAATCGGAGCTGACTACCTTCGGAATGTAAGACTTTAGTATGCAGAGAGGAGGAGTGGTGGTGATGAGGGAGTGTGGGGTGTGCGGGTAACAGTGGGTTTGTTTGACTATTGCAAGTGGAGTACGTGAAGCCCTACATTTTACTGATTTATGTATGTATGCATTTACTCATGGTTACTTCTTCCGAATCTTATTTTCATTGTTACTGTTCGTTGCTATTGGTGCCGCTATTTGTTTGCCGTTGTTGTATATTTGATTGTTGCTGCCGTTACTATTGTTTATCGTTATGTTTTATTTATGCGAATGGTTGTAGTTGTTGTTTCTCGTGTTTTAAGTGGCGGTTGTCACTCGATTGCATTGTTTAGAATGAGAATTTCGTGGCTGACACAGTGCCATTAGATAATCTGTAGTTGACGGTGAAGCGAATTGCTGGAAAGCGTAGGTACACGTTAGAAAAATTAAAAATTCAATAAATTAAAAAGTGAATCTAAATTTCTGTAGAAAGTTGTGATTTAATGCTATCAGACAGAAAGTTTTTTTCCCCGAATGTGTACTTTCAAAATTCTCTTATTTTTCTAAGATTTATACATATACATATAAATAAGTAGCGTAAATTATGTTTTAAGAATTTGCTTTTGCGTTTTTGCGTCTTACTCAAGAATTGAATTTTTAATTTTTAAAATGCTTTAATCTTTACAGTATGTGGTATGAAAGCTAAATTAGTTGGGTCTATCAGGCTGGATATTCCCCACACGTAGACCATTTTGGTGCCTAGCGGTACTAGATGGAGATCGAACCATAGTTCGGCTTATAGCAGACATCGTTTAGGATTCCAGCGTCTTTAGCGAATTTAAGGAAAGTGGGGAATCCACTCTTGAGACAACTTCCAATTTTTCGAGCTTAATAGGTAGCCTCTTGGTATTTTGGTCGAGTTCTGCATAGTGCTAAGCATAAGCGCAGAAGGTTAACTAACGTTTTTCTGCCGCCCAGCTCCGTGCTTTCCCTGATTTGATTAGATATTAGCCTCTCAGTAAGCCTGGTATCATTTTGTGTTCTTTCTCCGACAACGCTAGTACGAATGGCAGTATCGCAATTTGTATTAAATATCTGAGAAGCTCTCCGGGACTGACTTGTATTGTATTCACACA